CATATCTAACATAGACAGATGCAAGCCACAGCACTGTCTTCCTTCACGGATGACACCCAAATTTGCATGACAGTGTCATCCATTGAAGACACTGCAAGACTCCAAGCAGACATCAATCAAATCTTTAAATGGGTCATAGAAAAAAACATGAAGTTCAATGAAGAAAAATTTCAATTACTCTGATGTGGAAAACTAGAGGAAATTTAGACTGTATTAGAGTATAAAATAAACTCCCACACAACAGAGTGAAAAACTAATGTGTAGGACTTGGGAGTGATAATGTCAGAAGATCTCACTTTCAAAGATCACAACACTGTATTTACCACATATGCTAGGAAAATGACAGGATGGATAATGAGAACCTTCAAAACTAGGGGTGCCAAGTCAATGATGATTCTCTCCACATCACTTGCTTTCTTTAGGCTAGAATATTGCTGTACACTAACGGCCCATGCAAGGCAGGCGAAATTGCTGACCTGGAGAATATATAGAAAACATTCACAGTAAGCATAAGTACGATACAACACCTAAATTATTGGGAACAGATGAAGTCCCTTGAATTGTATTCCTTGGAATTAAGGTAAGAAAGGTGCATGATATACACTTTGAAAATCCTAGAGGGACTATTCCCAAATTTGCTCATGAAAATCACTCCCTACAAAAGCAAAAGACTCGGCACGAGATGTAACATCCCCCAAATGAAAAGCAGGGGTGCCAACACAGTAAATATCAGGGGCCCAAGAATATTCAACTGCCACCCAGCATATATAAGGGGGGATTTCCAATAAACCCCTGGCAGTTTGAACATTTGAATAACTGCATCAATTGTACATTTTTCAATCTAAACCCAAACTGACTGGCTAAGTATGCTGTGACATATAAGGTAGGAGAAGACTCGTTCATGTATTATTTTTCAAAGATTTTAGATAGTAAGGACAAGTTTGATAAAGGCTTATAATTATTCAATTCAGATGGACTGCCTCCTCTTGAGTATGGATGTGAAGATTGAAGATTCCACAAATTTGTTAAACAGAGTTGCAATAATGGGCGAAAGCATATGAGCTGCTTTTTTGTACGTGAGTGGTGGCAAGTTATTTAGGTTTCCTGTCTTTTTGTAAGTGATGAGCGAGACTTTGGTAGTATTAGTAGGAGCTAGTTATAGAGTATTTGGGTAATTTCTAGTGAATCTTTTGCCTGAGTATTTGAGGCCGGGATTTTGCATGCTAGTTTTGATTCTATAATAGAGAGGAAGAAATTAAGTTTGTTGGCAGTGTTTGCAGGCTGGATGTGTGGGTCATCTGGTTTAGTTAACCCTTAAACGGTCCAAACGTATATATACATTCACGTGCGTAGCGCCCCAAACGTATATATACATTTTCTTTGTCATTCATTCAACATTGCCACGATAAGCCTGAGTCACCTAGACATGAGAGAATGGGTGTGCACACTCACTGTGCGCCATATTAAAATAATTGAGGACGCCTGGGTACCATATGCTCTTTTTTCCTATTAAAAAAGGCAATTTTTTTCCTCTCAAAAAATTTGGGGCGCTACACGAGTGAACATATACATACGTTTGGACCGTTTAAGGGTTAAGTTCATATCTCTGTTTCTGGACAGTTTTCTTGAGCCAAGGATTTCAGAGAGGGTCTGAGGGTCTTTTTCACATCCCGGTTTATTTCATAAAGTCTGACTGAGTAATACAGCCTCTCCTCACTTAACAACGGAGCTCGATTCCTAAGACTACATTGGTAAACGAATTTGTTGTTAAGTGAGGAGCATACTAGAACGGTAGTGGGTTTGCATCAACCATCTTTGATATTATATTAATGTCCCTTTGGCACCATTTATAACATTTCTGGTATGTTTTTAAATGTTTATACATTAGTGTGCTGTACATTGTAATAAAAAGAATATAGGAAATCAGCTCTAATATACAATATTTAACCCTTTGACTGTCGCAAGCCCCTTTCTGAAACTCTCATTCTATGTCGATAAATTTTTGGAAAAAAAAAAATAAAATTATTTTTTATGAAATGATAGAGAATCTTTTCCCCGATGGTAATGACACCAAAAGTACAAAATTTGATCGAAAATTCACGGAATTAAGCTCCCACGAAGTTAGCAGTCTCGGCGACATATACGCATCGGCGATTTCGCCGACTTTGAGCCCTATTTTTGGCCAATTCCATTGTTCCAGTTGACCAAACTCATAGCTATTTCTTTAGAACTCCATTTTTCTATCAATTGCGTACAAGAAACCGCCCATTTACCGATTTGAACTACCCAATAAAGTGGTCAGAAATATGCAATTTGGCTAATTTCACGGAAACTAAAAAAGATGCCAATTTCAAAATAGGGTCCAGAATAAACAATGTAGACATTCTTGGCACTAAAATAACATATCCTCTGTTCATTAGTCACGTCTCTAGGCCCCTCTTATATTACTATTGCTTTCTATATTGATTTTTTATTCATACAAAAAGATAACTGCATTATTGTAAAAATGGTATAAATAATATCAGTGCACTACTGAAAGAATATTAGACTCCCCAGTTGATGTGTATTGGATGTGTGGTGATTTGCTTAGTCTTGAACACTGGTAAAAATCGAACATTTCCGCTACTTTGAGCTCAATTTCAAGGTTGTTTTCCTCGTGAAACTAATCAAAATCATCTCTATTTCTGTAATATGTTTTCCATTTTATCACGTGAGACCATGAAAACGAAAATACAACAATAAATACTATACGAAAATACACCTCAAAGTCGGCATTTTAATAAAAAAAAATGGTTGGAGTTTTTTTTTCCTCATGCACTGCGTGTTGCAGAATTTTTTTTATATGGTGCACACTGACCACACAGACCCATTCTATCACATGTGGGCCTACCCGCTTTCTCCTGCTTGATTTGAAGCCGCTAGAATTTACGCGTATTAATACATCGGAAACATTGGCGCGTCACGACGTATATATACGACCAAAACAGTCAAAGGGTTAGGTATGCATATTGGTCAGAGAGACTGTCGTAAGTCTGAGTTGTCAGTAAACGAGTACGTCGCTAAGTGAGGAGAGGCTGTGCAGTTGTATAGACTTTTGTATTAGATTAGTGAGTATTAAGTGTATAGTTTTGTCCATTTTTTTTTGTTATTAAACCAAGTCTGAACTGTTTTTCATAATGGTGCTTTTTATCAATGGATTTGAGGATACTGTTTGCAAGCCAGGGGCTGTTTGGTCTCTTAGCTGTAATCTGCTTAGTTTTGTTTTAGAGGTTTTGGGTTTTATGAAGAAAAATTTTGGCACATTCATTGGTTGTCGGCTAGCTCTCTCTGCTAGTCAATGTTACTTAACCCTTTGAGGGTCGACAGGCCCTCTCCGAGACTTGTTCTCAGGGTCGGCCAAATTTCAAAAAAAAAAAAAAAAAAATATCTCATGAAAAGATAGAAAATCTTTTCCTGATCATAACGACACCGAAAGTATGAAATTTGATGGAAAACTTATGGAATTATGCTCTCGTGAAGTTAGCGGTCTTGACGATGCTTACGCATTGGCGATTTTGCCCACTTTGAGCCCTATTTTCGGCCAATTCCAATGTACTAGTTGACAAACATCATAACTATTTCGCTAGAACTCCATTTTTTCTATCGAATGAGTACAAGAAACAACCCCTTTACCGATTTCAACTATCCAATAAAGTGATCAGAATTTAGCAATTTTGCCAATTTCACACAAATTTCAAAAGATGCCAATTTCCGAATAGGGTCCAGAATAAACAAGAAAGACATTCCTGGCACTAAAATAACAAGTTTTCTGTTCATTAGTCACATCCCCAGGCCCCTCTTATATTTCTTTGGCTTTCCACTTTCAATTTTTATTCTTACAAAAAATAGAAGATTTACTGTTATGCAGACTACTGCATTAGTGTAGAAATGGTATAAATAATATCAGCGCACTTGTGAAAGAATGTTAGACTCACCAGTTGACGTGTATTGGACGCTTGGCATGATTTGTTTACTTTTGAATTTTGATAAAAATCGAACATTTCTGCAACTTTGAGGTCAATTTCAAGGTAGTTTTCATTGTAAAATCAGTCAAAATCATCTCCATTTTTGTAATATGTCTTCCATTCTATAAAATGAGACCAAGAAAGCTAGAATACAACAATAAATACCATATGAAAATACAGTGCAAAATCGCTGTTTTATTCCAAAAACACGGTCAAAGTTTTTTTTTTTTCTCATTACATACTATGTGCTGCAGGATTTTTTTTATACTGCGCACACGAACCACTTAGACCCATTCTTTTATATGTAGGCCTACCAGCTTTCTCTCACTAGATTTGAGGGCGCTAGAATTTAGGCGTACTTGTACGTCAAAAACCCCAGCTCGTAAGCCGTACTAGTACATCCGAAACCCTCAAAGGGTTAATGCTGAAGTAGTTATTTACTGATGACTCATCACGAAGTAAAAGTGAGATTCTTCAGGGTTATCAAACTTCCTGGGTTACATTTAATTACATTTTTGTTTTTAAGGAATATTTTTTAAAAAATTATATAACAAAGCTCAGCTCCTGTAGCTTCAAACAGGTAATTACAAATAGATAATTATCATGATATGATCTCAGGAAAGAGATTTCCAAAGCCTCAAATATTCATACAGTGTTGTTACCATTCTTGTATTCATTGACAACCTCTCGTATAAATTTTTATCTCACGTCTATTCTGTAATTCACTTCATCCTCTTCCAAGCATCCTGAAGACATCCACTTCTTCTACATATCTGTCCTTTATTCTGACTTCTAATCCTTCACTCCTTATTCTTCTAAGAGTTGTCATCATCTTGCTCTACTCTACACTCACTACTCTTCCACACAATGCAGCTGCTTTCCCACAAACATCCAGTGTGAAAATTCCCAACGGAAATCAGATTCATTATGTTTCAGGACCTCAAGTCTATCAAACACTGGCATTCCTGTTAAACTGTAACCTCTGATAAATGTTACCATCAGCAGAGTGTTGAGTGCTGTCTCCTTCACTTTCTGCTGGTGCTGGAGAGAAGGAGTCCTCAAAGCCAAGTGGGTTAGTTGCTAAGCCTGTACACAGGGAAGCAACTGGGCCCCAGAGATCCTCATTTTCACACTGAAAATACAGTTCATATTCAATTACAACTCATTATATTAAAAGGATTTTGAAAAGTGACTTTAAAAATATAATTAGTTTTACTTTCTTTTATCAATCATACCCAGATCAAAAAGACTATGCGGAAAAATTTGACTAATAACTAAGGCGTATTTAGGATTAGTTTGCCTGAAATGCTCTGCATACTAAGTGATTTTTCTTTTGTGTCTAACAATATTTTATATGTAAATTATATTATCTGTGAACTGCATAAGTTTAGAATGTCACATACATACATACATGCATACATACCTGCATTGTTGGTCAACCACACCACTACGTTATGTCCTTATTGTCTTCACTAATACTTGACTGAAAAAAAACTTTATATTAGCTAAGACAAATGAGGAAACAGAGTCAAGTCACAATATAACAGAGGCTTCTCTCACTCTGTGTGGGTTCACCTCATGTAATGCCTCACTTCTATCAACGATTCCATTAGTACAGTAGGGCCCCACTTACATGTCAGGTTAGGTTCCAGGCTACCGCTGTAAAGAGGAAATCAACGTTAAGTGGAATACCTTTTTTCCACTTATAAATGCGTATAAATGCTATATAACAAATTTACACTAACGTATATTAAGCTAGCAATAGAACTAGGCATTAAAAAACAATAAAAAAGTAAAATACACATATAGTACACTCATTACTTATCTTAAAATATTTGTAGTATTATGTAGGGTAAGATGAGTAGTATCTATTGCAAGAAATCAGGTGTGGTAGATATGGTAGCCAGCCAGGCCACCCCACCTACATATAATATACTACGACATTTAAAGCATCTTAAAGCAATAAAATGCATATACAGCTCACTCATTACTTACCTTAAAATGTTTGTAGTCTTAATGTAGGGTGAGAGATGAGTAAATGAGATAAAACAAATAAACAAGAGAGAGAATGAAAAAATGAGAGAGGAAAGAGACGAGCATGTAAACAAATAAACAAATACATCTGGTTTTGGTTCATACACTTTTGTATTATACCATAATACAAACACTTCACATTGCATACAAGTTGTCTTCCACGCTGATACAGTAGAATAAATAAAGAGCAACACTCCCATTCTCATGTAACACCATTTTAAGAAGAAATGATGCAATGAGTGAAGGCATACGAAAGGAATAATTTTCTACAGTACACATTTTCTTTGGTGTTGAACTACGTATAGAAAAAACGTTATTCTTTTAGACACTCTGACAAGCTGACTCATATTTATGTTAATTTATTCTACTGTGGGATGTATTTATCATGTTTATATGTTACGTAGTGTGGTTATCATGTAATTTTGAAAAAAATATATATGGATTAATGAAAATGTGTATATTAATATAATATATGACATTTAATGTGCCTCAGAGTGATTATTATTGAGCATTATTATTATTATTAATATGACATCCTTGAGACATAAGACACTCTTAGTGATTTTAATGTGTACCTGCATGCCAGCACAGTGTGTAAGTTTACTTAGGTACAGGTACACTTAAGTATAATTATCAGAGTATATAAGTGTGCCCTGTGGCCTGATCACTAAAGCTCTTGTTTCACACGGCGAGGGTCTGCGTTTGATTCCCAGCGCAGTTAGAAACATTGGGCATGTTTCTTTACACTGGTTGTCTAGGTTCACCCATCACTAAAATGGGTTCTTAGGAGTTAGTCCACTGGTATGGGTCGCATCCTGGGACAAGGACTTAATTTGCCTGAAATGCTCTGCATAACAAGGGGCTTTCTATATACAGTGGACCCTCGGTTTTCGCGTTTAATTTGTTCCAGAGCCATCGGCCAAAACTGAAATTGGCCAAAACCAAAACCATTTTCCCCATAAGAAATAATGTAAATGGAATTAATCCGTTCCAGACACCCAGATGTATCAAAAAAAAAAAAAAAATTTTTTACCTTAACCTTTGACTGTTACAGGCCCCTCTCTGAAACTGTCATTCTATGTCGCTCAATTTTTGAAAAAAAAAAAAAAATTATTTTTTCTTATGAAATGATAGAGAATCTTTTTCTGATGGTAATGACACCAAAAGTTCGAAATTTGGTCGAAAACTCGTGGAATTATGCTCCCGCGAAGTTAGCGGTCTCGGCGACATATGCGTATCGGCGATTTCGCCGACTTTGAGCCCAATTTTCAGCCAATTCCATTGTTCCAGTTGACCAAACTCATAGCTATTTCTTTAGAACTCCATTTTATCTATCAGCTGAGTACAAGAAACCTCCCATTTACTAATTTGGACTACCCAATATGGTGGTCAGAAATTGGCAATTTGGCCAATTTCAAGCAAAATAAAAAAGATGCCAATTTCAAAATAGGGTCCAGAATAAACAAGGTAGACATTCGTGGCACTAAAATAACATATGCTCTGTTCATTAGTCACATCTCTAGGCCCCTCTTATATTATTATTGCTTTCTATTTTGATTTTTTATTCATACAAAAAAATACAAAATTTACTGTTATGCAGACGACTGCATTATTGTAAAAATGGTATAAATAATATCAGTGCACTAGTGAAAGAATATTAGACTCCCCAGTTGACGTGTATTGGACGTGTGGTGTGATTTATGTACTCTTGAACATTGGTAAAAATCGAACATTTCCGCTACTTTGAGCTCAGTTTGAAGGTCGTTTTCATCGTAAAAGTAATGAAAATCATCTCTATTTCTGTAATATGTTTTCCATTTTATCACCTAAGACCATGAAAACGCGAATACAAAGATAAATACTATACGAAAATACACCTCAAAGTCGGCGTTTTATTCCAAAAAAACGATCAGAGTTTTTTTTTTCTCATTACGCAATGTGTGCTGCAGGATTTTTTTTATGTGGTGCACACTGACCACACAGACCCATTCTCTCACATGTGGGCCTACCAGCTTTCTCCCACTTGATTTGAAGCCGCTAGAATTATTGAGTATATATACGTCAGAAACATTGGCTCGTAAGACGTATTTATACGTCGAAAACAGTCAAAGGGTTAAATATAGATTTACATGCACAAAATAATGAACATTAAACATGACACTCACCTTTATTGAAGGCTGTTGTTGCTGGAAGACAGGGAGGGGGGAAGAGGGAAGACAGGTTATTCTTTGGAAAGGGAATCCCCCTCCATAAGGACTGTAGGTACCAAGTCCTTATCCGGGGTCACTTCCCTCCTTTGTTTTTTAATGCCACTAGGACCAGCTTGAGAGTCACTGGACTCCTGTCGCACAAAATATCTGTCTAGATAGGTCTGTTTCTGGCGCCTCTTTAAAACTTCCCTAAAATGGGACATGGCACTGTCATTGTAAAAGTCACCAGCACAGATTGCAACAGCTTTCTCAGGGTGATGTTGCTCCACAAATATCTGCATTCTAGTCCACATTGCACAAATCTACTTAGTCTCTGAAGAAGGCACCTGCTTCCATCGCTCTTCCTGCTTTTTTGCATCAATTTCCCGTGCTGTGGTCTGATGCTGTTTTGCAGATGAGGCTTTCTCAGCTCATCAGTGGTTAGCTCTTGATTGTGGTCATCCACCAACTCTTCCACATCCTCACCACTCACATCCAACCCCATGGAATTCCCCAATGCCACAATTGATTGCACAACAGGTGTAGAGTCAACAGAGTCAGCCTCAAACTCTTCAAAATCCATCTTTCGGACACAATCTGGCCACAATTTTCCCCAAGCAGAGTTCATTGTCCTGGAAGTCACTCCCTGCCAAGCCTTATCTATAAGGTCTATGCACTGGAAGATACTGAAGTGATTCTTCCAGCACTCTCTTAGGGCCAATTCAGAGTCCAAGGTTATGTCAAAGCACCTTTGAAACATTGCTTTGGTGTACAGTTTTTTGAAGTTTGCAGTGATCTGCTGGTCCATGGGCTGGATGAGAGGAGTGGTGTTAGGAGGCAAGAACTTCACTGTTACAAAGCTGAATTCCTTAGACAATTGGTCTTCCAAGTCTGGAGGATGAGCAGGAGCATTTTCCATTAACAGGAGGCACTGGAGTGGCAATTTATTATCCAGGAGGTATTTTTTCACACAGGGGCCAAACACTTCATTGAACCATTCCAGGAAAATTTCCCTTGTGACCCATGCCCTACTGTTTGTCTTCCACATCACACACAATTTACTCTTCACAACACTGTTTTTCTTGAACACTCTGGGATTTCCAGAGTGATACACCAGTAAAGGCTTCATTTGAAATCCCCACTAGCATTACCACACAACAAGAGAGACTGTCTTTCATAGGCTTGTGTCCTGGGAGTGCCTTTTCCTCCTGCGTGATGTAGGTCCTCTTTGCCATTTTCTTCCAAAAGAGGCCTGTTTTGTCACAATTGAACACTTGTTGGGGTTGGAATTTTTCAGACTCTACATAACATTTGAATTATCGCACGAATTTTTCAGCCTCTTGTTTATCTGAGCTGGCACCCTCACTGTGCCTTACAACATTGTGTATGCCACTTCGCTTCTTGAATCTTTCAAACCAGCCTCCCTTGGCCTTGAATTCCCTTTCATCATCACTTGTTTCAGGCAATTTCTTTAGGAGATCCTCATGCAACTGCCTTGCCTTTTCACAAATACATGTAATGGACTGCACAACACTATCTCCTGCTCTTTCTCTCTGATCCACACCAACAACAATTTCTCCACTTCTTCAATTGTTTGGGATCTCTGTTTGGATATCGCATTCACCCCTTTTGCAACATCAGCTTCCATGATTTCTTTTCTCTTGGCCACACGGGAGCTGATTGTTGATGGCGACTTCCCGTACATCCTGCAGAGTTCAGCAATGCATATGGCACTATCATATTTTCCTAGGATTTATTTTTTCAGTTCTATGGTGTTCCTAACTTTCTTTCTTTACCAAAGCATTGGCACTAGGAGCTTTCTTTGGGGAAATGGTCACTTATTTAGCAGTCACACATGATAAACAAGTGACAAAAACAATGGATTACAAAATGTTTCGTATGACCTGGCAGGATATGTTACTCACCAAGAAACAACGCTATACTGGCTGAGAATGCGTGTGGGAGGCGGCTTTGTCTGTGTGCTGGGGATTGGACAGGTTCCGTACAATCGAGGAAAACGGAAGCCAAAAATTGACGAAAAAAATCGGCCAAAACTGAAATCGGCAATAACGGAGATCAACGAGAATGGAGGGTGTATGTCAATGATGTCAGCTAGGACTGTATACCATGTACATGTACTTGTAGCAAATACAGATATTATTATATTATGATTATTATTATTATTAAAATATGAAATAACTTTAAAACACTTGAAATTCTGGAAAGTTTCCAGACATAATGGAGAGCTACAGAGCTCACG